CCTGGGCTACACAGCAAGACTTCCTTAAAAACAAAACAGACGGTGGTGGCACACACCTTTAATCCCAGCCCTTGGAAGACAGAGGCACGTGAATCTCTGAGTTTGAGTTCAAGGTGCAGCTTGATCTACAGAATGAGTTCAAGAACAGCCAGGGCTGCCCAGAGAAACCCTGTCTTGTAAAACAAAGGCCCTGGAGATGGCTCAGTGGGTAAAAGCATTTCCTTCCAAGCCTTGTGTGTGAGTTCATCCCAAAAGCCACTGCACACAGTTGTCCTCCAGCCTCCAGATGCATACTGAGCTAAAAACATACACACACACACATACATACACACACAAATACAAAAGAATAAAGGCCAGACTTGGGAGACAAAACTCTTAAAAAACTTAAGGCCAGCCTGGTCTACATAATATGCTCTAGGTCCCCCGAAGTTAGTAAGATCCAGTCTCAAAAATTTTTAATTCGTATTTTGGAAAATGCAGAAAAAGATGTACGCGTATCTCCTCACCCAGGAGAGCATCCTTGGGGAGAGCTGAGGTGGGGCCTGACTAGTGCCAGAGTAACACCCTGGAAACAGGTGAGACTGGCCCCGGCCTCTGCGAGTTTCCCAAGTCGGGGACAGGCAGATAGATGTTCTAGATCTCCCCGTGTCTGTCTGTCTAGAAAATGTAGGCAGAAATCCAAATTTTGAGATTATTTCAAATTCTACCTGGCAAAGGGGAAGGGGACAAAGTAGAGTTGTGAAACATTCCAAAGAGGGTGACTTTCGCCGTCATCAAGAAGTGGAGGAAGGGCCACTTCACTCTGCAGCGGATGCGGCCTGTGTCCTGAAGGGAGCTCTGCTGGGAAGGGATGCAGTACCTGCTTTCACCACCAGAAGGGGCCCTGTGTTCATCTTTGGAACTGTTCTGCGAGCAGCGAGGTTCCTCCATGGTGGGTGGGCAGGGACATAGGGACAAAGGGGATTCATTGTTGAGCACCCTGCCGAGCACGTTCTTTGCTTAGGAGGATGGCAGTGTGTCCACTTTCCAGATGGAAACCATGAGGCTTAGTGCACACAGACTGAGAAGATACCACAGCACAGGGCAGTTCCTGGCGGCTGCCAACCCTCTCTGTCCCCAGGACAGGAGACAGTCTCAGAATTTTGTTCCCTTCCAAATTTCTAAAAAAGATAAGAGTTTTAATTATGAGTATAGTGGAGGAATGAAACATGATTAATAAAATAATCTCAGGGACAGAAATGTTGGGGTTCAACCTGAAGGTCAGAAAAGCAAAACAGCCAGCCCCTGGCTCTTACTTCTACCCCAGTTCGAAATGGTGATTCTGCCTCCAGGAATCTCAGAATGAGGGATCTCAGATGACGCTGTATCCTCCCATTTTATAATCTTTAGTTCTGGGATTAAAGGCGCGCACCACCTTCTGGTTTTTGTGGCAAACTAGTGTGGCTACTGGGATTAAAGGTGTGTGTCGTTGTTGCCTGGTCTTAAGACTGGCCAGTGTGGCTGTTTTACATTTCTGATTTTCAGGCAAACTTTATTAAAATACAAATGAAAAGGTGCTGCAGAGAAAGAGTTATGTGTACCCGAGTGCAGTACCGGCAGAGTCCAGAAGAGGGCCATTGATTCCTTGGAGCTGGAGTTGTGAGCGGACCTAAGTGAACCTTGGGAACCACAAGCATCCTTAAGAGCGGAAGTGCTCTTAACTGCTGAACCACCTCTCCAGCCCCTTTTCTGATTCTTTCTCTTACCCATTGCCTGTCCCTGTCTCTATCTCTGGGCCTTTGGTGGTAGATGAAACTTCAAGTACTGAATTCACACTTAGGCCAGGCATGGGTTGGGGACGTCTTTTGTTGGGGACAAGGCTACTGGCAGGAGGGCCAGGTGAGACCTGAGAAATGGCCTTCAGAAGAAGCTCTCGCCATTTCCTCGCCACACCCTCCCCTGCTGCAGCTCTGTGGAGCCTGTTCGCCCCTGTCTGCCGATGACGTCTGCTAGTGCTGATGTCCTGCACGCCCGCCTCTCTTCTGGTCACACTCACGGCAGCATCGCTGTCCTCGGGAGCCTGGAAACATAGGTCAGTTGCCGGGGAGAGGTTGTCTAGTAGGTACGAAGCTCCGTTTCCCGACACCACATAAACTGGGAATGGCAGCATGCACCTTTAATGCTAGAATTTGGGGGATGAGGATAGGAAATTCGGGAGTTCAAAGCCATCCTGGGCTATAAAACATGTTCAAGGCCAGCCTGGGCTACATGAAACCCTGTCTCAAAAAAAAAAAATCAGGGGGGATGGGCAGTGGTGGCACAGGCTTAAAATCCCTCAGGAGGCAGAGCAGGAGGATCTCTAAGTTTGAGGACAGCCTGGTCTACAGGGTGAGTTCTGGGACAGCAGGGTTACTCAGAGAAACCCTGTCTTGAAAAACAAACAAACCATCAGGGGACAGTATAATTCTGACAGTGTAGGGAAACAAAGCAGAAATACCGTGACTATGACCTCAGTGTTGCCTCGGTTCCCGCCCACTCCTCTGCCCCACTGTGCCCTCCTGGGCTTTTCTCCATTTCCTGGGGCACCTGCTCTAGTCCCACTGTGACCTCAGTCGGTCATGGTTGGGTCTCTGCTGAGAGTGCTCTGAAGGGCTCTCATCTACCTCGGTGACAGCCAACCTCCCTGTCACCTCCCTGCCTCCTGCTTCTCCCTCCCATTCACCCACTGTGGTTACCTGGATTCAGCTAGCCCTCCAACACTCAAAGTCCAGCTCCCTCCCGCGCCCTGTGGCTATGTCAAGGTGGCCCTTGACTTCCTGACTCCAAGAAGCGTGGAGAGAAGCAGCCCCCATCTCCAGGCACCAGCATGAGATGTCTCCAACTGAAGAGAAACCATTTGGCGGTGTAACAGGCCCCAGACCTTAGTAGGCCCTGAGACCTTCTCACAACTGGAAGTGCCATCCTGTGAAGGGCCGCATCCACATGCCCCATTACAAGATGGCGCTGACATCCGGTTTCACCGCCAGGTGAACAAAGCACAGGTGCGCAGTAACTTTCCACTGAGTCCCCGCCTACTCCTGAGGCATCATCTGGGATAATGGACAGTTGACCAATCCAAGAGCAACACGTCCGAAGCAAGGACTGTTTCCTATATAAGGGATGGGTTCCTTCATATCTGGGTCTCCGCCATGTTGACTGATGCTCTCTCTCCCAAGGGGCATTAAAGTTTTTCTGCAGAAGGATCCTGTGTCCCGCGTGGTTCTTGCTGGCGAGACGGTAGCGTGGGGCACCATCCAAGCTGCAAACTCAACACGTAGACAGTACCACCTGCCAAAAATGAAAATAAAAACTTAATCCACCAAACTCATAGTTCTGGGAGCGTCTCTAAATGTACTAACCTTGCTTTTTGGCTTTTGAAGCTCTGCTTCTGGCTAACTGTTCTTGTTAATTGAAGGACGTCAACCCAGGACATGGTTTTTGTGCTTTAAAGCTCACCCTGAGAGAGGCTCAGAGCTACACTGGAATCCTGAACACCCAGTGTAGTCGGCGGCCAGTTAATAAAGACTTTCTTTCTTTTTTTGTTTTCTGAGACAGGGTTTCTGTGCAGCCCCGGCTGTCCTGGTACTTGCTATGTAGATGAGGCTGGCCTCTAACTCATGGAGATCCACCTGCCTCTGCCTCCCACGTGCTGACATTGAGGTCCATAGACCTGGAGCCCAATGTCAGGCTGGAAACACAGGCTTGAAGATGGGCACAGAGAAGATAAAACTAAGGGAGAGGTGGATCCTGCCTGGCATAAAGTGAAGTCACAGCCAGGGGCTCCGGGTTCAGGGACAAGGAGATTCTTTGTCCCCCACCCCACCCCTCGCCTCTCCATCACATGACTGACTCCCCACTATACACCAATTGCATCTCTGCTCTCTGGCTGTGTGGGTCAATGGTTGTCTCCCATAGCTCCCAGGTTCAAGCCACTCCCTGTTCCCAAGCTCACTTGTCTCCTGGAATATCTCTGTCCTGGGCTTCTTTTTTTTTTTTTAAAAAAAAATTATTTACTTATTTATTATGTATACAATATTCTGTCTGTGTGTTTGCCTGAAGGCCACAAGAGGGCACCAGACCTCATTACAGATGGTTGTGAGCCACCATGTGGTTGCTAGGAATTGAACTCAGGACCTTTGGAAGACCAGACAATGCTCTTAACCACTGAGCCATCTCTCCAGCCCCCTGTCCTGGGCTTCTTAAGAGAGCCAAAAGTGGGTAGAGGCCCAAAGCAGATGGTGACCACTCTGGAAATCCAGGTCCTCTGGATGATTCAGACCCCATTACTCTTTGATAGCACAGAAGTGGGCCCGCAATGAATAGTCACCAATGGGAGTCCAAGACACTGGTCACTGTCACATGCCCATATCAGGGCTGTAGAGAGAGGCACTGTGGATGGGCAAAGCAGGAAGAGGTGTCTATCACAACAGCCCCAAGCATCCTGCTCTCAGATCAAGGCAGCCTGGACACGAGGTGAGCCCCTAACTCAGACCCAGAGCTTCCTCCCTCCCCAATGCCTCTCCCATCTGCCCCACCCCCTAAGTTGGTCCTCTACAGTGCCTCTGACCACTTTCCCAGCCTCCATCCTGCCTCTCTCTGCCTTTCGAGCCACTGTCCACAGGACCAAAGTCTGTTTAAGATCTCATGTGCTTCCCACGGTCTCTCACTCAAGTCAAAATGGAGCTCACCCCCCAAACTTCTTAAGACAAAGACCACACTCTGGCTCCCACTGGATGCCCTGCACCCTCTGCTGCTGTCCTGGTACTTCCTCTAACCAGCCTTCTCTGGTCCTCAGACTGCAGCAGACAAGCCCTGAGTGACCTTCCACACTGAAACTGTTTTGTCTATTGTGACAACTGTTTCCCCGGGAACTATACTTTGGGGACTAAACAAGACCTGCCAGGGGTGGAGGGATTCTCCTTCTCCTTTCCCTTCTGTTGGTCCTTAGGTCCTACATCATCAAAGGCCAGTTGTGAACTACTCTTCCTTCCAGCCAGAAAGGGCAGCCCAGAGTCCAGCTTGTAGTGTTTAACAGCACACACGGTGACAACATGACCGCTCCTTGGTATGTTTAAGGGAAAGGTTTTTATTTTAGATATGAGATAGAGAACAGACAGAGGCATCTGGAAGAATCCAGAGCAGAGAGAAAAAGAAATAGACTGGCAGGGTGGTGGTGACACGCACCTTTAATCCCCAGCACTTGCCATAGGATCTCTATGAGTTTGAGGCCAGCCTGGTCTACAGAGTGAGTTCCAGGACAGCCAAGGTTACACAGAGAAACTCTGTCTTGAAAAACCAAAAAAGAAAAAAAAGAAAGAAAAGACAAAGAAAAGGAAAGAAAGAGGGAGGGAAGGAAAGAAGAAAAAAGGGAGAAAAAAGGAGGAAAGGAAGAAAGAAATAGACTGAATGTGGCCAACAGACTGCCATGGCCAGAGCTATCTGCAGGAGGGGGGAGAATAGCATAGGGAATAGAGAAAACAGTGAGAGAAGCCAGAGCAGAGCATAGGAGAATAACGGGATTATAAGAATGAACAGCTGGGGGAGAGAAGCCTGTGAGCTGCAAGAAGGTTAGGGGAGAGTATTAATCCCAATGATGGAAGAAGAAAAACCACCAGCCCAAACCATCATGGCCAAATTAATTACAGCAAGCAATTAAAGCAAGTTCTTATTTTTCATGTATATGGGCTGCCTCCCGCTAAGACGGGATTCGAGAAGTCAGCCTTCAACATGAGGAAGACAAGGTTTTTATAGCTCAGGGGTAGGGGGTTTCCAAATTGGTGATTTGGCAGATAAAACAAGAGGAGTTACAGAGCAGAACATAAACATAACGTGTTAATCATAACGATCTTCTGAAACAAAGGCCTGATTGCAATGTAGTCAGACCAAGGTAGTCATGGAAACCTTTTGAGATAAAGGTAGGGTTGCGAGATGGGTATTACAACTTTTGAAACAAAGACATGGCTGCTGTTCTCTGTTCTCAGGCAGTACAGAGCCATTTGTAGTTCAGGTGGGACTTAGTGCAATCCTCGAGAAACAAAGGTTTAATCATAAACAGGAATGAGCCTATTGTGTCTTTACTATCAGATAGATGGCCTTTAAACCTCAACCGGAGGCAGGCTGCGCATCATTTCCCCCCTTGTCTTTTGTGTCCCTGTCAAATCTTTGATAGGGTCTTAGCATTCTTTATCTGAGGGGCAGAGGTAGACAAAGGTCACAGTTCATCAGAAGATGCATGACTTGTTTATAAATTACGTCCGTTTGATTAGCATGGAAAGAACAAAAATCTTAAGGCCATATAATCTCATTACACCAATAGGTACTATAGGTAGCCATTTGTCCCCTTTACCAGGCGTTTCCTTCGGATCTAATCTCCCAGCTCTTGCTGAGGACAAGGGAATGCCGTATTCTCCTCTGTAACTGCTTCCTGCTAACTTAGGATGCTGTTGTCAGGACCCAGGGGGGCTGGAATATTAGCCAAAGGCCAGGAGGAGATTAGGGCAATCAGAAGCATCCAGACTGCAGACCCAGCTGAAGAGACAGGGAGCAAGCACACGGACTGGACTGATGGACGTCGGCTTTCAGCAAGTCCAGGGCTTTCCAATTCTGAGGGACCATCTGGGCGCTGGTGTGGTACAAATGCCACCTTTGGAGCGGTTTGTAGTTCACAGCTGATTTCTGGGTGGTGGCCACTGTTGTACCCGTGTCACAGGACCCTAAGGCAAGACCGCCGCAGAGCTGGCATCCGATGCAAACACTGGGGTTTGTTGATTACAAATTAGCTAGCTCGGACCAAATCCAACACATCTCCGGAGCGGGTGGGGGAAGATGGCCCCAAGGCTTCAGGGTGAGGGGATTTTAAAGGCAAAAACCACGAGTCAGGATGGCACAAAGCCTTGGTATTTCAGGATTGGGTAAAAGTATACAACTTTTGAATTTGTTGGTTGGGGTATAGAGGAATTTCGAAACAGCCGTTAATCAGATACCTACGAGGACATTTGAAGCCAGCAGATATAAACAGATGTTGTATGGACACCCTGGTGACGTCATTTTAACCAGGGCTGGCACAGTTTCTTGGGAATTTTATGACTTTGCTGGGCTGCATCCACCCCCTTAGTAGATCCCGTCTAAAGTGGAGTTCTTTCTCAAAATGGAGTTTGTTCTGCTCCTTCGTCTACCAGTCAAGCGGAACTCTGTCAAGAAAGGTATTGACCAGGGACAGAAGTTAAAGGGCTTAAAGGAAGCTTTTATGTTTGGGGCTTCCCTCTCAGGATTAGGCAACAGGCAGGAAAGTTTCAGCTGTTGGTTGACAGGGTACTTATCTAGAGTTCATCTGATCTGTGAGAGATGAGTTCAAGTCTTATGGTTTTTTCAGTTCCCTGAGGTTTATATTACCGTTATTTGTAATCTGCATTGAAATCTATACTGTGAAAAAGCAGTGAACGGGTGTCTGTCAAACAGCTGGAGTGGACTCACGCCTTTGAGTCAGAGCAAGAGCTGTGGCTTTGGTTAAAAACATGAGCATTTCTTTCTGTCCAGAGGACTGGATATGTAGATTGGATGGAGATGTTCTGTGCATGATGAGGCAAATCTTTAAGTCTATATTTAGAATAAAGACAAGCAAAGGAAATTGAAAATCTTGAGCTTGTGACTGGGAATAGCCAAGGCTTTACCAGTGTGGCAGAACTTCCTTGATTAATGCTAAAACTCTGGGCCAGGTGGTGGTGGTGCACGCTTTTTATCCCAGCACTCAGGAGGCAGAGGCAGGCGAATCTCTGTGAGTTTGAGGCCAACCTGGTCTACAGAGTGAGTTCTAAGACATCCAAGGCTACACAGAGAAACTCTGTCTCAAAAAACCAAAAACACAACAAAAATTTAAACTTTTGAAATCTTAGTATAACAATAACATAGAGAAAGTATTTGTATATCTTAAACATTTTTCAGATTTCCATAACTTATTGAGACTTTTATGTCATCAGATGTTTGTAGTTAAAATTATTTTTAGGTGTTTGTAATTTATATAAACCTTAAACTTTTCATCCAGTTATTTATCATTAGACATACATAAATGGCTGCTTACTGACAGCAGTCTTTGGCTGTCACACAGGACAACGTTAAATCTTCACTTGCTGCACACAGGACAGCATAGGCCTTTGCCTGCCAGACCAGAATGTCCTAGAGATTTTCCTGCAGAGGAAGAACTTGGAAAAGCTGACCCAGTGTGACTAGCAGAGCAGGGCAGTCAACCCCACAGTGTCCACAGTGTGGCAGGCCTGGCAGCAGGCGAGGCATGGGCAACTTTGGCCAGGGCTAGCATTATAGCATCAGCATAATTCAGGTGGAGTTGTCTGTGTCCCTTACGGTTGCTGCTAGGAGCTGGCATGTATTTCTAACATGGGGAGCTTTTCCCTTTATATAGTTTAAATGCCATATTCATCAGATCTCCGAAAAGTTTTGAGGACCATTTATTAAGTTTACCTGATTTTATTTTATTTTATTTAAAGATTTATTTATTTATTTATTTATTTATTTATTATGTGCACAGTGTTCTGTCTCCATGTATGGCTGCAGGCCAGAAGAGGGCACCAAATCTTATTACAGATGGTTATAAACCATCATGTGGTTGCCGGGAATTGAACTCAGGACCTTTGAAAGAGCAGCCAGTGCCTTAACTGCTGAGCCATCTTTCTAGGCCAACTTTACCTGATTTTAAATAAACTTCTTGGGTTTTGGGTTTTTTTTTTCAAGACAGGGTTTCTCTGTGACTTCAGAACCTGTCCTGGAACACGCTCTGTATACCAGGCTGGCCTCAAACTCACAGAGATCCACCTGCCTCTGCCTCCCGAGTGCTGGGATTAAAGGCTTGCCCCACCACTGCCCGGCGAGAACTTTCTTTGCCTGGTCCTTTCACAGTGCACCGTTGCAGAATATCACAGTTTCTTATATGACTCTGTTTATCAAAATAGCCGAAGCTTAACAAAGTTAGCAAAGACAAGGAAGCTAGACTTAAGTCAGTCTCCGTCAGCCCGAACAGACCTGAGCGAAGGAGAGACGCTCTGCCTCTTTGTTGAGCTGCTTACGTCACCCTTCTGCTGCATCAGAAAACTGTCCCAGTTTCTCGGGTTTAGTAGCTGTGGCCCTAACTTTAGTTGACCGGTGACTACGTTGGGTGCTTGGGATTCCAGGGTAGCTGAGCCTTTCTCAGAGTAAGCATTTTAAACCATACATTTAAACCATGTTAACAAGGACAGTTAGCCAGAAGTGGAACTGCAGGAGTTAAAAAAGCAGGGATACATTTTGGAGACTTGTCCAGAACTATGGACAGTGATGGATTTGGATTTAAGATTACCCATTGTGATGGCTATTCTTCATTGTCAACTTGACTATATCTGGAATGAACAACAATCCAGAAATGGAGGGCACGCTTGTGATCTGGATCTTGAGGCAGGATGACACACACCTTTAATCCAGATCTTGAGGCAGGAAGGTGCACCTTTAATCCGGGCCACACCTTCTGCTGGAAGCCTACATAAGGACAATGAAGAAGCAAGGTGTTATCCATTCTTTGCCTGCTGGCCCTCGCCTTGTCAGCACACCCATTCCTACACTGGCATCGGAGCCTGCGTCTTCAGGATCCCAGCACATCCAGAAGGCCAGTGGAGACACCCAGCTGCTATCTGTATATATCCAAAGATTAGATAGATAGATAGATAGATAAATAGATAGATAGACAGACAGACAGACAGAGATTAATTCTATAAATTCTGTGAATCCTGACTAATACACTCATGTAGCTTTCTTTTTTTTTGTTTGCTTGATTTTGTTATTGTTGTTGTTTGAGACAGGGTTTCTCTATACAGCCCTAGCTGTCCTGGAACTCCCTCTGTAGACCAAGCTGGCCTCAATCTCTGCCTGCCTCTGCCTCCCAAGTGCTGGGATTAAAGGTGTGTGCCACCATTATTGCTCAGCATAGTCTAACTTTTTTTTTCTGATACAAAGCAATTTATTAACAGAAAATAATTTGAGAAGTCCTGTTCACAGACGGCGACCACGGTGAGCCCCCTTCCTTTGGGTGCTGTCAGAGGGAATGGGGGTGACATCCTCAATCCGCCCAATCTTCATCCCTGAGCGAGCAAGAGCTCTGAGGGCTGACTGGGCTCCAGGTCCAGGGGTCTTGGTTCTGTTTCCTCCTGTGGCGCAGAGTTTGATCTGCAGGGCAGTGATGCCCAGCTCCTTGCACCTCTGGGTCACATCCTGGGCAGCCAACATGGCTGCATACGGAGAGGACTCATCTCTGTCAGCCTTCACCTTCATTCCACCAGTCACCCGGCAGATGGTTTCCTTGCCAGAAAGATCGGTTACATGGACAAAGATGTCATTGAAGGACGCAAAAATGTGGCAGACACCAAATATGTTCTCTCCTTCAGTCACTTGAGGCCCAAGGCTGATGACTTGTTCTTCCTTCTTTTCCTTCCTCTTGCGAGGTGCCATCTCTGAACGTCGCCTCCCCACAGTTTAACTTCTTTTAGCTGTTCTGCCTTGCTTTTCCTTCCCCACAAAGTCAGGTGGATCTCCTGACGGGACAGAAGCTTTCAAGCTCCAGAGCCAGTCTTTCAACACAGCAGAACATCACAAAGAGTATTTCCACGTTACCCATACCCAACAGACATCTGAGTCCCTGATAAACTGAATCCAGTGACCAGGAAGAAATTTGGACCCTTCGCTATCAAAGTAGCCATGGCGGGCAGCAGGGGCAGATTTGGGCCTGGAGTGAACAAAGCCTCCCAGGGTGGCATGCTGAGGAGGGGGCCGTCCACATCACCCCAGCCTGGCAGAGTGGGGGTGGTAGCAGCTAGGGCTTGGTCCAGCTCCTAAGTCCACCTGTAACTGGAGAAAATTAAGTGGGGTCCGGGAACATATGAAAGGAAAGAAGACAGCAAAAACAAACCCAAAAGTCAGAACACAGCACATACCAGAGACTAAGGCATCGAAAATGAAACCAAAGGAACAGGGGCAATGACAACATTTGGGGTCATTCAGAGGTTCACCAGTCTGACCAAAGAAGGGTTTTTTTTTGTTTTTTTTTTTTAAACAAATAAGAGCAGGAGAGTGGTGGCTCACACCTTTAATCCCAGCACTGGGAGGCAGAGGCAGGCAGATTTCTGTGAGTTCCAAGACAGCCAAGGTTACACAGAGAAATCCTGTCTCAAAAAAAAAACAACAAAAAGTTTTTATAGTTTACCAGAGGAGGTTCCCATAAAAAGAGAAGAAAAAAGGAGCTCACTATTTCCCTCCACTGAATCAAAGGCATGCCTCAGGGCCTTAGGATGTCTTCAAGGTGAGCATACCTGGAGAGCAGCGCTTCAGTCCTGGGGACCAGAGAGAAGGGTCCGGCTTCTGAATTTCTTTTTTTTTTGTTTGTTTTTTGTTTTGTTTTGTTTTTTGAGACAGGGTTTCTCTGTAGCTTTGGAGCCTGTCCTGGAACTAGATCTTATAGACCAGGCTGGCCTTCAACTCACAGAGATCCACCTGCCTCTACCTCACAAGTGCTGGGATTAAAGGCGTGCGCCGCCACCACCACCACCACCACCACCACCGGGCTAGCTTCCAAATTTCTAAGTTTGGGTTTGGGCCTTGATCTCACTGGGGCCTCCAAATGGAAGGAGGTGAGAAGGGTTAGGATGCTAGCATGGACTTTGCAATGTGTAACAGGTATTTTGACACTGACAGTGAGGGAGCCTGGAAGCCCAGCATAGGCTCTGATAAGCCACCGGGTAGCCCTGCGTCCCTCTGCCAGAGGTATGGGAAATGAGTCCTTTTGGTAGATGGGAATCAGTTTCATAAGTTCCTGAGGAGTGCTGGCTTTTATCTAACTGCCAGAAATTGTCCTAAAGTCCAGGTTGAGCTGACTAGACTGCCTTTTGGAGTTTGGGGAACGGGAGTTTCCTTTGGCGATAACAGAGAGTCCTCCACCTGCGCCATCCACAGGGTCTCATGATCCCAGTGACCCAGGACATGTTGAAGGACAAACAGACAAACTAAGGTTGGTTTCGACAAAACTTAAGCCCTTGGGGGAAGTAAGAGTGGTCAGGAAACAGAGAAAAGAGTTGCGGGAGGGAGGGAAGCATCCCCAGCGAGAAAGGGGAACTTGGCCAGGGGCTTTTGCAGACCCAGGCGCATCTCGAACCTGCTGAATCCTGTGTGGCCTCTTCCAGGTTGTCATATCCTGTCCAAGCAGGATTTCTAAGAATTGCTAGGAATAAAATGAGCCGCTAAGGCAAGATTCAAGTGTGTGTGGCACTCAGGCCTAAGCCGATTGGGACAGACCCTCTTGTGAGGAAGAGAGGACATCTGAGCTGGACCGTGGTACTGGGTGTTGTCTAAAGTGCTCTCCCCAAAACCTCAAAAGCACAGTCCCACTGACATGACAGTCTGGATCAGCTCAGGGTGGACTCTGGCAGGGTGATCGATAGTTACTGAAGAAAGACGAATCTTACATCAGCTATTATTTAACGTCTGTCTGAACCACCACTTCCTCTGTCTTCCCCTAACTCGGGCAAATGGGGAACATGCCTACTAGTGCCTGCCTGTAACACATCAAAGTTCCCACGCTAGCCTCCTGGCTCTTGTGGCCTGCGAAGCTCCCCTATTCTACTCTTCCAGGCTCTTCCTCCTCACAGGCTCTCCCATCTCAACCTGTTTCCTTTCAATTGGCAAGAGTGTCCACACCTTTTTTCTTTTTTGCTCTTCTCTCTGCCCCTGGCAGCTCTGAACTTCCCCCTATGAATCTTCCCACTCATGGAGTGGCCTCCTCTGGGGGTTTTGCTGCACCTTCGTGGATAGTGGGAGTTCCTAAAGGACAGAAAGAAAAGGGCCCTTGATTTTCAGCTTCAGTCCTTTTTGTTTGCTGCTGGAGAAACTGAGGCTGAGAGGAAACAGTGGTTGTTCCTAAACCTAAGCATTTCTTGGAACCCAGTTTGGTCCCCTGGGAAAGGGTTGGGTGATGTGGGATGTCCTTCTGTATGATGTGAGTGAGTATGTGTTGCTTTTATTGGTTGATAAATAAGCTGCTTGGGCCTATGGCAGGGCAGAATATAGCTAGGCAGGAAATCCAAACAGAGATACAGGTGAAGAGGGACAGGGCCTGTAATGATTGTGCTGTCTCTTTAAGAGACAAGCTACGCCCACTCTGTCCCCCATCCGCTGAGACAGGCTGATCTTTAGCTTCTGGCCTGAGCTCTCTCTCTTCCATGCCTCTCAAAGAGGCAGCTTCTGCCACTCTCCCCACTCCTCCGCTTCCCCCCTTTTCTGCCTCTCCTCTTCTCTCTCTCTCCCCCTTCTCCCTTTCTCCCTTCCCCCTCCATAACCCCCTGAATAAATATCCAACCTCACTCTGCATGCCGTGCCTATTCACGTCTCTGTCTCTTGCCCACCCACCACGTGTCTCCCTGCCTGGGACCAGCCACCGCTTGGGGACCAGCAGCCGTCTCTGCCTGGGGCTGGCTGCTCCCAGGGCCCACTGGGGATCCTGCAGCATTTTTAATTTTTCCCTTACAGGGCCTGGGGAGAAGCACTGGAGCATCAAGATGAACTAGAGAACATATAACGTCATGAAGTCACATGGTGATACACAGATTATTAGAAATAGGTTAATTAAATGTAAGAGCTAGCCAGCAATAAGCCTGAGACTGTTGTGCCCAGATTATGACCCCCAGAGAAAGACCACCAGAGAGGCCCAGACTGTGATAAGCAAGGTTTAATCAGCATAACACAAACATGTTTGAAACTCATCTCCATCTCCGTTGTAGTGAGGTAGAGAGAGTTGTATCTCCTCTGTGGGGTAAGCTTTTAAAGGTATAACTACAAAGAGAATCTTTGCAGCTGCTTTGGCACAGGTGCAAGGACTTTTGCTCCCTCCCATTGTGCTAAGTCAGCTTTTTCCTTGTTCTTAGAGCAAGACCACTGTTCTTGAGTTAGGCCATCTTTATCAGCCTGTACCAGGTGGCTGGCTGGGCTGAGCTAAGTGACCTTGTGCTCAGAATCTCCCAGGTGGGAGAGAGGAAGGCCACTATCTTCCTGGGAAAACATTCTGCTAGGAAATTTCTTCTCGCCCCTTTGAGAATAAGGGATGAGGGTTCCATAGAGACATCGGCCAAACAATTTATAATTATACAACAGTTATGCCTCTGTATGATTATTTGATAAACAGCTGTGGGTACCAGTGGGGCAGGACAGAGAAGAATCTCCAGCTATAGTTGGGCGGGAGAGAGGAGAGGCACTCAGACTCTAGATCCCTCAAGTAACATCACTCTACACTCAAGCCTCAGGGGACAGAGTGGTGCAGGATGGAGAAGTGACAGAACTTACATTCCAGAATCTTCTCCCCAGTACTCAGGAAACACCCGGCTCTGCATGTCTAAGAGTAAAGCAAAGAGTCCAGGCAGGCCTCAGGAGTTTGCAGAAGACTGGGAAGAGAAGCCACAGCTGACTGAGGAGACCCTGGGAGAAGGGTCATATGCACACGGCCGCAAAGGGGTGTGTGCTGGTGGAAGTCAGAGTGCGACACATAAATCAGGGCTGAAAGAATAGAAAAGGTGACCAGTTAGGGCTGGTGTGAATTCCCACGTGTGTGCAAATGTCCTGTGGGGGGAAAACAGGACACCTAGACCACCCGGAGTTCACCTTTCCAGAAGAGCTGGGAGGGCATTTCCTTTTCCTTTGCTTTTCCAAAACCCTCCCACCCCACCCCCACCTCCGAGTGAGAGCAAGAAATAGGAATTTCATATTCTAATTAAGGAGACTTTTTGTCCTGTTTTTTGTTTTTTGTTTTTTTTTTCCTCAGACATTATGTCACTCTGATGCTCAGGCTGGACTAGGGACTGGAGCCATGAGTATTAGCCGTATACTGTTCTTGCAGAGGATCTAAGTTTGGTTCCCAGCATCTAAATCAAGCAGCCTGCAACTACCAATGGGGAAAAAAAAAAAAACCCTTTTGGCTTCTGTGAGCCCATGTATTTACATGCACATACCCAAATACACACACACACACACACACACACACACACACACTAAACAATGTTGATGATTTGGTTGGTTGGTTGTTTTGGTTTGTTTTGAGTTGGGATCTCTCTACATAATTCTGACTGTCCTGGAACTTGTTATGTAGACTAGCCTGGCTTCCAACTGGTGAAGAGATCCACCTGCCTCCCTCCTGAGTGCTGGGACTAAAGGTGTTTGCTACAATGCCAAGCTGATAAATTAAAGAAAAAAATTGAATTCAAGCAATCTTTGCAAGCACTTGGACCATAGGTACATACCCGGCAAGGAAGCTATTTCTTTAAAAAGAATTTTTGTTGTTGTTATTGTTGTTTGTTTGTCTTTTTGAGACAGGGTTTCTCTGTATAGCTTTGGAGTCTGTACTGGAACTCACTCTGTAGCCCAGGCAACAAACTCAGAGATCCACCTGCCTCTGCCTCCCGAATGCTGAGATTAAAAGTGTGAGATTAACCACCTGGCTTAAAAAGAATTTAAGGACTGGAGAGATGGTTCAGTGGTTAAGAGCACTGGTTACTCTTTCAGAGGTCCTGAGTTCGATTTAAAGCATCTCCATCGTGGCTTACAACCATCTGTAACTCCGGTTCCACAGGATTTTCTGGACTCCTTGGACACCAGGCATACATGAGGTGCACACATTTATATGCAGGGAAAACACCCTTCTACACAGAAACTTTCTGATATTTATTTTGTGCATGTGTGCACATGGGTGACACAACATGTGTGCGGAAGACAAATTGCAGGAATCAGCACCCTCCTTTTACCCTGGAAGACCCAGGAATCAAACTCAGGTTGACAAACTTTATCCACTAAGCTGTCTTGCCAGTCCAAGGAGAGTTCACATGGAATATTTTGTTTGGGTATAGGGTGACATTCAATAAGTAAGCCATTTATAGATGTAACAATGAGGAAAGAGCGATCCAGGGGAGAACCAGATGGGAGGGAACCCGAAGCCCATACATAGGAGAAGGCTTGTGGTTGAGTTTTTGGTGGTCCTGGTCTCCAGGCTCCATCTGGAACCAGTTGGGGTTTGTTGATGTGGAAGCAGCGTTGTCTGTGGAGGACACTGATCCCACACTGTAGCTGTCCAGGAGCTGACACCGATCCCAGCATCCTCTGAAGTTCTTTGGAGGGCTGTTGAGGCACAGAGGTTAACTGATGCCTAGACGGTCTCAGTGCAGCTGTTTCAGTTCTAAAACATTGTCTAGAGTGGCAAGAGGAGTCCTGAGAGGGGCGGCCCAGTGGCCCCTTAGTCCCCGTTTGGAGGTCACCCAAACTACTTTTAGGTGTTTAGTGGTGTTGATCACTCAGCAACTGTTTCAAGGCTGACAGAAGGGCAGAGAGGGGAGAGCAGACTACCTCAGAAGACAATCCACCCAAGGGGCCAGGACCAAACCTAACAGTTGGCAAAGATCCAGAACATAAGTCAAAAGGTAACAACTGTACAACTTTGTGGGGGAACATTACCTGACAAAGTTGCATCAAGATTAACATTAGTTGCCAAGTGGTGGTGGCGCATGCCTTTAATCCCAGCACTTGGGAGGCAGAGGCAGGAGGATCTCTGTGAGTTGGAGGCCAGTCTGGTCTACAAGATCTAGTTCCAGGACAGGTTCCAAAGCTACAAAGAAATCCTGTCTTGAAAAAATGAACAAACAAACAAACAAACAAACAAAAAGATTAACATTAGTTAATATAATACAAAGTATCAAGTTAGCATGTTTAGCTGTGAGTCACCATATGCTACGAGCCAAACTTGGGGCCTCTGCAAAAATCGAAAGCACTCTTATCTGAAGGATCATCTCTTCAACAACCTCTGCCCCATTTAAAATGTGATAATGTTTTAAAATGTGAACTTGATAATGCACACCTTTAATCTCAGCACTCGGGAGGCAGAGGCAGGCAGATCTGAGTTCAAGAACAGCCTGTTCTACAGAGTGAGTTCCGGGATAACCAGGGCTACACAGAGAAACCCTGTCTCGAAAAAAACAAAAACCCCCGAAAAAACACAACCATATGTAACTCCTGTCCCAGGATCCAACACCCTCTTCTGGCCTCCAAAGGTACTGCAAGCACAAGGTACACAACACACAGGCAAAAGACCCATACGCATAAAATAAAGGTGAAAAGAGATTTTACAAAAGTATGTGTATGTATGCACACATGTCAGATAGCTACAGAGACCAGAAGAGGGCATCAGATCCCCGGGGCTGGAGTTCTGAGCAGTTGTGAACCACCCTTCGTGAGTGCTGGGAACTGAACCCGAGTCCTCGGCAAAGCAAACGCTCAATCACTTTTAACCACTTAGTGCTCTTAACCACAGAGCCCCACGAGTCACATCTTTCCTTCTTCCTTTCTTTCTTTCTTTCTTTTCTTTCTTTCTTTCTTTCTTTCCTTCTCTCTCTCTCTCTCTCTCTCTCTCTCTCTCTCTCTCTCCCTTCCTTCCTTCCTTTCCTTTCTTTCTCTTCTTTTCTTTTCTTTTCTTTTATGTTTTGTTTGTTTTTTGAGGCTTTGTTTCACTTATGTAACCCTAGTCGGCTAACCTGGAATCGGCCATGTGCAGACAAGGTGGTGTAGACAGGGTTGCCTTCAATTTCTGTCTCCTGAGTGCTGAGATTAAAGATATGACCACCACACCAGGCTTTCCCCAGACTTTTATATAGTTTTATTAAACACCTTTAGGTTGCAAAAATAAGTAAATAAATAAATAATATGGTAAAATATGCATAACAAAATTTTCAAATTTTTTTTTCAGAGCTGAAGAATAAACTCAGGACTTCAAAACATCCCAGCTAAGCTATTCCCTGCAATAGGGAAGTACAAAAATATTCATATTCATGCAATAAATCTCTAGAACTTTCTGGTCTTGCACAACTGAAATTCTTCCTCATTGAGCAGCACTCCACCCCATTACAGCCTCAACCTCTGCTTATCTGAACCCTGCCTTCTGTTTCTGTGACTTTGACCACGGGAGGTTCCACATGAGTGGAATCCCACGCTAGTTATCTGTGGCTACAGCCCATGTCTCCCTTTCAACAGATTTGTTTTCCCCTCCTTCTTTATGTGAATTCTATATTTTGTAATGGCTCATCCACCATCACGTGACTCCTCCCTCTGGCAACTGTGAACGTGGTGTGCAAAGAACTCTTTCGGTTCTTTTGCTTTATATTGATTTATTCGATTATTTCTGTGCACGGGTGTTTTGCCTGTATGTTTGTATTGCACTGTATGTAACTGTACCATATATGTGCCTGGTACTGGGTGAGGACATCAGATCTCCTAGAACAGGAGCTGGCTGTGAATCACCATGTGGGTGCTGGGATCTGAAACCAGGTTCTCTGAGAGATGCCTAAACTTCCTCCATTTTACAAGCGGGGGGGTCTAAGTTTCACTTTCACAAACAAAGGGCTATTAATGAACAACACCCCCCCACCCCCCACCCCCGACAACCAGGAGAAGGGAGGGAGCAGAGGCAAGGCCTGAGTCAGCCCCACGCCATCTCAAAGCAGTGACTGAAAAAGGACAGTTTTGTCGCCCCCTGAAACAGATCCGGACTTGCCCAAGTATGCCCAAATATGGAAAAACAAAAATTAAAAATGTGTTAATGTAACTGCTGCCTGTTTAACTGGTC